CGTCCTTCCCGCACGGGCGCCATCTACGCGTCGCGACGCCGGCCCCCGCTTTCCACGGGCGCCCTGGCGCTCGTCACGTGGGTCTGGTCGTACCTCGTGCTCGCGTGGAACACCGCGTCGGACGTTGCCTACTTCGCCGCCACGATTCTGTTCCTGAGTGACCCGCGCACCCTGTTCAAGCGTGCCGACGACGATGAGTTCCACGCCAAGCGCTTCGTCCACCGGAGTCTTAGCCTGGATGACGTCATGTTCCTCAAGAGCTCCATGAACTGCGTACGTATAATTAAGCTAAGCTAGCAGTTTAATTTGTTCATCAAATTATTATATTTTCCCCACGGACTGTTAACTTTCTTTCTTTTTTGCCGGGAACCACAGACCGTCAATGATGTGCTGGTTGCAGTGACTTCTGCTGCTCTATCAAGATATTACTTCCGCAAGTCCGGTAAGTACCTCAAGGGTAACAAGCAAGTGTTTAATGGTGCAACTGTTTTTACTAAACAGTTCTTTACTTAAACTTCAATGTCAGGTGACACTAACACTAGCAAAATCTGTTTGCGATCACTCCTTCCTGTCAACACAAGGCCAGCCACTAGCCTACAGGTAAGGTAAGATGTACTTACCTTTTCAGAAAATATATGCAATTAATGGATGCTAAATGCCATGCACCATCGATTTTCACCAACATATACCGCCTCTGTACCAAAATATAAGACGTTTTTGTAGGCTAAACTGGCCTAAAAAACGTCTTATATTTTGATACGGAGGGAGTATCTCTGAACATTGTCCGATGATATCACCATCATATTTCATAGATTACCAGTATTTTAACTTATTTTTCTGATTTTACCACTATGAACAGACATATGTTAATGTGATAGAATCTGATAAGAGGAACGAGGTGACATGGGGAAATAAACTGGGCTACATTATTCTTTCATTTTATCTGGCCATGCACGAAGATCCACTTGCATATATTCGCAAGGCAAAGAAGGTTCTTGATAGGAAAAAGAGGTCACTCGAAGTGATATTGACATATAAGATTGGTCTGATTTTCACGAAATTTTTTGGTGTCAAGGTATACTGCTTTGTTTCCCTTCGCTCAATCTAAAATTAAACTACAAAAAACTTAATCTAGCAAATTAAGTAACAGCTCATAATTCTTCTTCTTCGTTTTAGTGTTTCAAATTGCATTACATCGTGATGATTGAACCAGGTAGGAACTTCAATCTTTCGGCGTCTCTTCGCACGTACAACAATAGTTTTCTCAAACATGGTTGGACCAGCTGAACAGGTAGAGTTATGTGGACACCCAGTGGCTTTCCTTGCGCCTAGCGTCTATGGGATTCCAGAGGTAGGGAACTTGTGATCTTGCATACTTCCAGTTTTTCATAAGTTACTTAATTTCTATAAGAATGCAACTGATTAGTCATGTACATTTGTATCCACTAGCAAAACTGATAACACAAAGATATCTTAAACTTTGAAGGGGTACATTGTTTTAGTTTGCTTTAGGTTGTGAACACTATTATGTCACCTTCTTAGGAAACGTCGTGTACTGATAAAAGTTCATCGTGTGTGTAAAAAATATTCATTGTGTACTTCAAAAATATTCAGTTTGTGTTTAAAAATGCTTAGTGTGTATTTTAAAAAAGCTTAGAGTATATGAAAAAAAATGTTTACCTACTTTTGAAAAAAATCCAGTGTGTATTTACATAATATTCACCATATATACAAAAAAGTTCATCGTATATCCAAAAATGTTCACCATCTATTAAAAATGTTCAGCATATATTGAGAAAAGTTCACTGTGTTTTGAAAAAATGTCCACCTTATATTCAAAAAATGTGTGTGTGTGTGTGTGTGTGTGTGTGTGTGTGTGTGTGTGTGTGTGTGTGTGTAAAAATATATTTATACTGAAAATAAAATAAAAATTCCACAAGAAGGCAAAAAAGAAACAGAAGGAACAAAAAAACAAAACAAACTGGTAATAGAAAAAAAGATAAACAGAAAATGAAAAGTAAAAACAAAAAAGGAAAGACAAAAAATAAATAAATTGCCGGAGAAAGAAAAACCAACACAGAAAACCAAACTGTAAACCACAACAGAAAACCCCAAAAAAGCGAAATAGCAGAAGCAACACAGTGAACCTTGATCTGGGCTGGTCCAACTAGCTTTGCCTGTGGGCGTCCCAGCATCCGACGCCCACGGGCGTCATATAGCTAGGAGGATTCGCCGACAAATTATTTAACTGCATAAGCAGATTAATGGAAATTATTCAGGTGGAGCCCTGGGCGTTCGGTTAGACCGAACTATTCGGTTCGGTGCTTCGGTTTATTTTATTTTTTGGAACGTAGGCTCAAGAAGAGCTCGGCTTTGGATTAACAAAGCCATCAACCGGCCAGGATTACAACTTTGGAATACAACCACACTCCAACAAAAAGAAAATAAAAACAAAAGGCAAAGAAACAAAGGCGCCTAGGAGCAGCTCACAGAGGCATACAACAAGCTAGCTAGCTAGAAGTAAAGAACACATAGCTAGAGATGCCGGGAACCCCATACACGCCTAGAACCAAGGCAAAAACGCTAAGCGTCTTAGCAAAGAGCACCGACGACGGAGCAAAGCACGCCATTGCCAAACGCCTGGGCTTGAAGGAGACACATCCATCCAGATCCATCGTCACAGAAGGCCCCTGCCTCCTCGCCTGGCTCAAGGCGCCGCACCGGTGAGCGATGGACATGCTCACCCTAGAACTTGCATGGATGGCATCGCAGGAAACCACAGGGGCGGAACCAGGCGTTCCCAGCCTGCCGTCGGCGACTTACCTGAAACAGAGCAATGCCAAATGCAAGAGTCCAGGCATGAAACAGGGGCGAGCTGTCGGAATGCACAAATGGGCAGCAGCAAGAGCCAAAACCAAATCGTCGGCTCGCTCGACGAGCAGAAGAGCAGCCACCGGAGGAGGGCAACCCTATCCCCTCACGTCCTGGAGAATCCACGGGCACCGGAGGAGCCCTGCAGCCCAACGAAGAGCACCAAACCAGCTTGACCACATGCCCAGGGGGACACCGCCGCCGCTGGAGACACTCTGCCGCCGCCGACACACTCCACCTACACCACCACGAAGCCTGTAACCCATCTTTGTTCCCAAAACAGCGCCTTCAAGAAGGTTACGGCGCCCTGGGCGTCGCCGCTGCCCAACAATGTTGAGGATTTCACCCGGGAGACAAAGGGGAAGGGGGTAGGGGGGCAGGACCTGACCGGCGCCTCCAGGAAGGTGAGCGGGCCCGCGGGCGTCGTCGTTGTCGCAGCCGACACGGCTGGCTAGGGGTTTCCCCCGGTCCTGCAGCCCCGTCGCCCACTCCCACCCGCAGAAGACCGCAGTCCCATGACGAAACAGGGCGGATCTGAGGGGGGAGGCGCTCGTTGGGGAAGAAGGGGAATGGAGGCGGCCAGATCTGACGCGACAGGAGACGAATCCGCCGCCGCCGCGCGCTGGCCTGCATCCACCGGGGCTCTCGCCCCCCGCACGGCCGAGATAACACCGACCCCCGCCCACGCCACCGGGAGCCGAAGCCGGCGGCGCCACACTTGCCGGGGCCGCCGCCCCGGATCCAAAGGCCCCCCACAGGTGGCGAGGCGGCGAGGGCCCCGCTGCCGCCTTCATCAGCAGTGGGCCGAGCTTGCCCGGCAGCAGCTGCCTCAGGCGGCGGCGAGGGAAGGGAGAGGAGGGGAGGGGGCGGCGGGGCTAGGGTTTTCGCCCCTCGGGTCGCCTAAGCGGGGCGGCACGAGGGGGGGAGCGTCTCCCATCCTTCGGTTTATTTGGAATTTTGGTTTCTGATTTTGCTAACCAAACGGTTTTATGAGAAATCAATAACCGACGCTTCGGTCCATCGAGATCTCGGTTAGGTGTTGGGTTACAACCGAAGAGAAAAACAAAAATAGGAATGAATCAAACATGCATATATCATAAAGGACGGGGTGAAGGAGCTCCGACAAAAATCGTTGCTAGCAGGTTGCTCAACTAACCCGCTGCATTAGGATCACTATGCGAAGAGCCATCCTGAGGCACACTGATCCACTCACTAGGACATTTTTGTCCTGGGTCCGCCCCTGATTCGGGCCTGTAGAGTAATCAATTGAGGGTTTCTTTAGCTCAGCTTTCTTTCCTAGATTTTGTACTAGAACAATCTTAAAATTAGTAACCTCACAAAAAAATTAAAATTAGTAAACCCTTAGAGTATTTCATTTTTTTCCTATACCATGATTGGCAATTAATTTCTAGGATTGCTTTTGTAGGCTCTGATTATTCACTACCAAAGCTACAGAAGCACTATCAAGATAATTCTATCAGTTGACGAGGACAAGTTTCCAGATTATCATCAACTTTTGGATGACTTTGACCAGACCCTCACGGTCATGAAGGACGCGGCTTCAAGACTTTCAACGTCAACTAAGAATGACTAAGCAATAGACAACTAAATCAGGACCCTACACGTATATGCGCTAA